GGAGGTACATGCACACCCATTTAGGGCCCTATCAACACCTCAACTTGGTGTTTGATTGAGGATAGGTGCCTCCCCCCTCATTTGAGCCATACGGATAACCCAAAGGAAGAGAGAAGCTCTAGGCATAACCTCTCAAAAAGCTCAAGCTTGAAGGAAGCAAGAGGAGAGGAAATCCAAAGAGAAAAGTATAGTGTTTGAGGTAAGAACTCAATGAGTATTCTTGTAACTAGTTTATTCTTGTATGATTTTTTAGAAATCATATGGTGGATTAAACCATGAGTTCTACACGTTTAAAAGTGTAGAATATTGTTATAAAGTGGTGTTAATTAACTTAGAAGAGTTGGTGAATCGATAGGAGTCGAAATCGCCGGAAACCGCCACATATAGGGAGCTGTTCGTAGTTGCAGACTACGAAAGCCGCCCGGATTTCGTGAAAGCCGCCCGGCTTTTGCACAGCAGACCAGTTTTACACCTCCAATCGGCCTAGAACGGGGATTGATCGAGGGGCTTAGCAAAGGCAACTATTTCAGCACTTCATAAGGTGAGGATGGCTGACTATATTGCTTATAATTAGTGAGTTAATTTCATAAGAATGCCTAAAGTAATTAGATGGGATTTTCATGGACTATTAAAGATTAATAATGTCTAAATGAAAATAATATGTATATGAATAAGTGAAGCATGATATACAAATTTAGAAAAATTGTGTATGATTATGTGAAATGAATGGAATGGCATGTTAATGGAATTACTAAGATGACATTGTGATAAAATATACTTTACTTCATGTATGAGATTCATGAATGGATTAAAGTGATATTTTTGATATTGAGATTAAACTATACTTGGATTGAGAAATCAATGGAAATGAAATGCAATATGGGAAATAGGAACTTGGCATGTTCTAAGGTTATCCAATTAGTATCAAAATACTAGTTGGGGAATTAATATGAATAAATGATGAAATAAATCCTAAGAGGTAGGATTGTGAATAGATATGCCTTAAGTAGTCTCAAGAGATACTTAAGGATGAATGGTATGAACACTAAGGAGTGATTAGGGGTAGGCCTAAAGGCCACCTCCGGAAATTGATTCTAGGCATAGGACTTGCTTGAGAATTTGATTATGAAAATAAATAGAGTTGGACTCTAGGATGACATGGAGATGTAGTTGGGCCGAGCCCATGCCATGTAATATGATTAGCATGGAAACGTAGTTGGGCCGAGCCCTTGCCATGTATATGTGACCTCCGTGGAAACGTAGTTGGGCCGAGCCCTTGCCACGAAGTTATGGTTGGTATGGAAACGTAGTTGGGCCGAGCCCTTGCCATACAAATGTTGATATGATACATCGAGTTAGAGGATTGTATAGAGATGTAGTTGGGCCGAGCCCATGCTATACAATTGGGGCTCGATGGGACCCCACGGGGTTATCGTGACTCGCGGTCACGGGGGAATGGGAATGGCGAATTCTAAATGAATATGGGCCTACGGGCCGTCTACTTGACTTTATGTAAAGTAAGTACAGTTAAAGGTAAAAAGGGGTAACCGAGGGTTATGGCCTATAATATAATAGTACCCTAAGACGGGGGTCTTGGAAATTAAAACGTTGATTATACTTAGTATAGTTGCTATTGTACTTGTCAAATATTTCCAAGTACTGACCTCCCCTTCACGGGGGAGGCCACCTCACAGTTTCAGGTAGGACTTGAAGGTTGCTACCGGCGCCCGTTGTTTCAGGGATTTCCAAGGGAGAAGACGTGGTTCGTGCTTCTTCTGTTTCCTGTTTTCAAAACAATTATAACAATGCCCATGGATACTATTTTTGAATAACTATTTGGGGGCTTGTATGCCCATGTTTGCCAAAGTGTGGCCAAGACATCTTTATTAAATGCTTCCGCTGTTTTAAATGAATGATTTACATTATGCTTGTTTATGGATGTACTATGTGTGAATGGTATTCAAGACGCCTTGTATAGTATGGATGAGTTGGACCGGATGTCATGCTCCTTCAACCTCGGATGTCATGCACCGTATCCGAGGGGTTATTACGGGGAATAACAAACAGCAAGTTGACTATTATATTGTGGGTAGTTTGCTGTTTGTTTATTCTGCCGAGGGCAGTCCCTCAGTTACCCACATGTCGGGACTTGAGGGGTCATGTTTGTGATTTTTGTGATTTTTCCCGAGGGGGTCCTCCAGTCCCCCACTCCTTGAGGCACTTGCAAAGTGGTGAAAAGGAGTAGAGTAGTTGCGTTGCTGTTTTGGGCCGAAGGCTGACGTTTTTCGTTTCATTTTGGGGGGATGCCTCGTTAAAAACCTCATTAGGAAAAACCCCGTGGGAAAAAATCCTAATGAGGGAAAAAGAGTACACCGAATTCCCCCAATGATGAATCGAAAACGTGAAGCCCTGGTCTGAAATGGAGTATAATGCTGATGCTGAAGGCTATCCTTGTCCTGAGGGCTCATGTGTTGATTAGCCGGAGGCTTGTTGTTGATGTCCTGGGAGGTGCCGAAGGGGGGTCCCTCAATCCGGGGATCGAGGGCGTAATGAATGCGAGTAGTAGTTGAAGTGTTACCCGGGTGTCCCCTGTTTGTTGATTAGTTGGTGGGGAGTGTACCCGAGGGGTCCCGTTACCTGTGTGTCGTAGGCTGTTCTTCAATGAGGCGTACTCCCCGGGGGCTACCCGGCCCTCAAAGTGCTGAGGGGGGACCCCCGAGGGGTGGCCTGTTATGAAGCCGTGGGTTCCTGATGGAGTGAGCCCGAAGGCATCTGTTATGTAGTGTGTGGGGCACAAACCGGGAGTGTCTTCGGGTAAGTGTACTCGGGGGCTCTTCTTGATGAAGTGGAGTGAAGTAAAAAGCCCGGAGGCTCCCAGAATATAGCCGTTGGAAATATAGCCGTTGGAATATGTAACGTCAGGATATAGCCGTTGGGGGGGGGGGGGGTTACCACGTGGTGCGTGCTCGTTGGCTGCCCGTGGGCGGGCGTCACCGATTGGGTGAAACCACGGTTGGTAATGATGGCAGTCCAACCGGAGGCCCGGTTTCCAGGCCCAAGCCCAGATCCCAGCGCCTATAAATACCCCATGGTCGGCTTCCCTTCCCCTTGTGCGATATCATTGTAGCGAAGCTCTGCCCAATTTTCTAGAGAGAGAAAATCCAGCCTTCGGTTGATTCCCAGCTTTTAAGGTTAGTTCCCCCCTGCTTTTCTCCTCCTAGCTAGCTGTGCCCTGTGCCCTTAGGCTAGGAGTTAGAACTTTTTAGGACACTTAGCATTTCCGAGCCCTCGGTCTAGTGGGAAGATGTCTTCACAAAGCGACTCCCAGGATATCTCGGGGGAGCCTTCAGTCGAGATGGAGACAGACTCAGACGTCGAGTCTTCGAGCGGGGAGTCCTCGGTGGGTGGTGATGCTGCGGTGGCCATGGAGGTGGAGAAAGACCTCCAGGCCGAAGTCGAAGCCGAAGACTTCGAGCAAGTAAATGAGGACGAAGAGCTTGCCCTCGCCGTGCAGACTGTCGAAGAGGAAGAGGAGAGGGAGAGGACGAAGGTGACGGTTGCCGTTCTTCCCCCTCGTGATGCCGGGGAATCCAACTCCTCCCGGCCATTGAACCCGACGCTCATCAGCGTGGCTCCCGGGAAGAAGAAGAAGAAGATGAGGGCAGCCCCGAAGAAGAAACAAGCGGCTGTTGACGCCGGGCGGCCGATAGGCATACCCGAGGGCCACTCATTCCTGAACACTGCCGCCCTGGAGCTGAAGACGAGGGCGTCCCCGGAAGAATACCAGGCCACTCAGATCTTGGTTGGCCCTTCGGCGCGCGTGGTGGAGCCCGGGGCAGATGACCTATTGCGATATACGCCCGAAGGGTGTTTTGCTGTTCACACTCTCTCGGTGGAGATGGGGCTTCAGTTTCCGTTTCACCCATTTCTGTTGGAATACCTGCGGTTCGTGGGGTTTGCCTCCTACCAGCTAACGCCCAACAGCCACTCTTACGTGGCCGACTTCCTTTCCCTGTGCCGGAGCCGAGGGGTTCCACCTACCCTTGACCAGTTCTTCATGTCCTTTAACCTCTGCCGGGGGGGGGGGGGGGGCATTCAAATGCTGAGGGCTTTGCCAACCTTCAGCAGGTGCCGGACTTCAGGCTCTTCGATGACGTACCCTCGTCCCACAAGGGGTGGAAGGAGCGATTTTGCTACATTCGGCTCGAGGAGAACCCCTTCCCGGCCCAGCTCCGCAACAGCTTCCGGCGCCACCCGAAGGTAGGGAGCGTAGCCCTGGAGAAGAATGGCAAAGTGCTTGCCAAAAAACCGGAGGGGTCTGATAAACACGTCAAGATTAAGGACGTCACTCTCCCCGAGGAATTGTTTAGCCTTGGCTTCCGGCCGTTCAGGCCGAGGGGTTCTTCGGATGAAAGATACCCTCCCCTCGATCGAGTCTTCGAAGGAGCCGGAGGTGATTATCGAAGGGTTCATTTGTACCTTGATAGTTTTCCTTCATACATTATCCTTTTTTTCCTTTTATGCTATTGTAACTGACACCCTTCGGTTTAACCATTCTGTGTCTTTTTCTTGCAGGTAATAACATGGACGTAGGCTCTCTCTTCGCCTTAAAGAATGCGAAGGGGAAGAAGAAGGCCCCGACGGGCACTTCTGCCAGGGAGGAGCCCTCCCAAGCTGCTGCCGCCGGTGCTGGTGGCGGAGGGTCTAGAGGTGTCGGGCCCGCGAAGAAGAAGAATACTGGCAAGGGGACCGAGCCCCCGGCAAAGAAGGTAAAGACCGCCGCCCCCGCCAAGCAGCCGACCACCGATGTGGTTGTGATTGTGGATGAAGGGCACGCCTCAGCCCCCACCTCCCAGGAACACATCAATCAGGAGTTCTTCGGGCGGGAGAAACTGGAGGCGATAGTGCCGAAGGGGGCTTCTGTACTGGAGGGCAGTCTGAACCCTTCGGCATTGATGAGCCAGATGCTGCCATCGGCTGACCGCTTGGCCCTCGCCAGGTTGGACGAGGGGTCCCTCGAGGCGAAGATCCTTCTGAACACTGCCTCCGTAAGTACCTATCCTTTCCTTATTCGTTGTTGTTGTTTTTTTTTTCTTTTTTTGTAATGTGTTCTTCCTGTCTCATTTTCACCCTTGTGAATTGTAGAGCTTCATGGGCCTCTGCGAGCACCTCCGGAGGGTGGAGCAAATGAGGGAGGCGAAAAGCGCGGCCGAAGGTGAGGCCGCCCTCCTCAGGAAGAAACTTACCGAGGCTGAGGACTCTCTTCGCCTGGCTACCGATGGCATGGAGCAGCGGGTGCAAGCTGCGAGGGCCGAAGCGGTGAATGAGGGTCTGGCCAGGGCCGGGGAGGCTGCTGCCAAGGCCGCCCGCATTGCTGCTGATGAAGCCCGCGCGGCTCAAGAAGAGGCCGTCTCTAGAGCCCGGGAGGATGCGGTGGCCAGCTTCACTGTCGAGGGATGGAAGGCTGAAGATCGGAAGGAGTGGCTCTCTTCGGTGGTGGGGGCTTCGGTGGACGAATGGGTTGGAGGCCCCGGTAGGATGTGGCTTGCTGAGAGGGGCGACTCCTACTACCAAGGCGGGGAGTTCTTCACCCAGCGCCTCATTTACCGGAAGCTTGCGAGGCATTTCCAGATCGCACCGGAGGCGTTCCATCCCGAGGCTTATGGCCTCCCCCCTCGTCAGCCATACGTCAGGATCCCGCTCCCCGAAGGAGAAGAGAGGCCAGTGCTCGAAGATTCAGAGACCCTGAGGGAGTGCGGCCTCGGGGGTGATGGGGATGAGGCCGAGAGTGAGGCAGTTTCTGCAGCTCCCCCTTCGTGAAATGTATTCCCCCCCGATTTGTAATCACACTTTGTTGTACTTGTTGGCTTCAGCCCTTTTTGTAACATACATTTGAACTTCCTTTTATCGGATGAATGAGTACATGCCTTCGGGCTTTGTGTATATGACTTATCCTCTTTAATTCGTTTCTCCTCGAATGTATGCCCTCGTTTTCCTTTGAATGTATGCCTTCGCTTTTCTGAATGTATGTTTAGGACTTAGAATATATTCTTCCAAGTGTAGTGCTTCTCGTAGCCCTCGGCCACTAAGCATATTTAGTCAGTTGAACCTTTCACCGAGGGCACAATGTTCAGGACATAGAAATATTTCTAAGTGTTTGTTCATCTGTTGGTGCCCGGCTAATCCTTCCCTCCGGTTCTATGTAGCCTTCATGAGATGACCGGAGGCGAGGTGTTTAGGACTTGGAAAATCTCTAAGTGTTTGGATATTGTGTAGCCTTCGGTACGTGGATACCCCTCGCTGATTGGATGCATGACCGAGGGCCCAAGAATAGTTAGGACTTAGAATATTTTTCTAAGTATACTTTTGCCAAGTCCTCATCCGTATGGCCCTCGGGCTGTAGGGAGATTTGACCGAGGGCCAAAATATGTAGGACTTAGAAATTTTTTCTAAGTGTAGTATGTGTGAAGTAGGAACCCTCGGGCAGCATGAAGATTTGACCGAGGGTCAAAATATGTAGGACTTAGAAAATGTTTCTAAGTATTTCCTGACGCTGTCCCTCGGGGGGACCCTTCGGCTGTATACGCTGTAGGTTTAGGATAGTTTCCTTTGCCTTGCAATGTTGGGCTATGGTAACAAAAGCCTTCGATTCTTTGTTATATCCCCTCAGCATGTAGTGAGGTGCCGGGGGTTATTCTTGATTTGATTTGGCCAACATGTGATAGCTTTGTCATAAAGTAGCCTTCGGTAACGTTTTTGAGCTGTTGTTGTCTGAGTTTGCCATGTTTTGTAGTATTTGAACCTTCGGTTTTAGGTATAGCCGGAGGCAGTCCTTGAGTGGACTTAGCCATTTGTTGATGATGTCCGTTGTGAATGGTATCCTTTGTACTTGTGAACTTTCAGGTACCGGAGGCGTTCCCTTGAGGAGCCCTCAGTATGTTTCTGTGAATTGTTGCTGTGATGTACTCATTGATTTCTCGCCGAGTCTACTCCCCTTCACCACCTCATTTTTTTTTTGAGTAGTGAAGGGAAGGCATTAGCTCCCCCTTCGGGTTAACCTTCCGAGTTCCGAGGGGATCGAGGGTCGTTTCCTGGGCACAATATATGGTGGTCTGGAGCCTGCCTCCCCTAGGGGGATGGCGCGGAAAGCGCCTCAGTTTTGAAAGTCGTCCCCTCGGCGCTAGACATAGTCCGTGGCCTGCCACACCCTTGGGGTGGTGGCGCGGGGAGCGTTTCGGTTTGGAAGTCGAATCCTGGGCATTTCTCGTGCCTGTCATACCCTTGGGGTGATGACGCGGAAAGCGTTCCATTTTGAAAGTCGAATCCTGGGCATTTCTCATGCCTGTCATACCCTTGGGGTGATGACGCGGAAAGCGTTTCAGGGAAGGGTTTTCATTTGCACACTGGTTGCAAATGGCCGGGTGCACTACGTGCTGCCGGCACCGAGAGGTGGTGCCTTCGGTATAGGCGTCCTCGAGGGGTACGGCTTAGGAAACAACACTTGGTGTTTGTTCCGATGTACGCCCCCCGGCACTTGGTACCGAGGGGTCTTCTGTAAAAATAGTTGGTGTTTTTCCTTCACTTGTCGTAGGGGACTGTGGTGCCTAGGGACTTCAATGCCGTTAGGGCGTTTTAATTTGTAAGTTCCCGGTTTGATGATGGCTGCCACGATGTAGGGGCCTTCGAACTTCGGTGCCATCTTTCCGCCCTCGGTTGGTTGGCTAGCTTCCCTTCTTCGGAGAACATAGTCCCCCACTTGGAATTCCCGGGAGCGAACCTTGGCGTCAATGTAACTCTTCACCTGCCTTCGGTAGTTTTCTGCGCGTATGAAGGCTTGCTCTCGGCGTTCTGAAATAAGGTGTAGGTCGAGGGTCATATTGGAGTCGTTGGCCTCGGGATCATACTGTGTGATCCTCCGGGTTGGAAGAGTTACCTCAGTGGGGGCTTTGGCTTCAAATCCGTAGCAAAGGGAGAAGGGTGGTACGGTAGGCCCATAAGATGTTGTGGAGCTCTTCCACCCAACCACCCCCTTCGGCCTCCAGCTTCTTCTTTAGGCCCTCAAGCAGGGTCCTGTTGGCGTTCTCCACCTGACCGTTGCCCTGAGGGTAGGCAACGGATGAGAAGGTGTGTTTGATGCCCCATGCCTCTAGGAGGGCACAGAAGGGGGCTGCCTCAAACTGAGTCCCATTGTCGGAGATGATCTGTTGAGGGACGCCAAACCTTGTGAGGATGTTCTTGAGAACAAAGTGACGGCACCTGGCCTCAGTGATGCTGGCGAGGGGCTCCGCTTCCACCCATTTGGTGAAGTAATCGATGGCGACAATGATGTACCTGTTGTTGGAGGTACCCCTCGGCAGAGGGCCCACAAGGTCTATGCCCCATCGAGCGAAAGGTATGGATGTGCTGATGGGGGCATAGTTGACCGCTGGCCTGCCGGGGGCTTTCTGGAAGTGCTGGCATGCGGGACACCTCCGGGCGAGGTCCGCACAATCCCGGGCCATCGTAGGCCAGAAGTAGCCCTGGATTATCAGCCTTCGAGACATGGAGAAGGGTCCCTGGTGAGCTGAGCAAGTCCCACTGTGTACTTCCTCCATTGCTACTTCGGCTTCATCTTGATGAAGGCACCGAAGTAATGTCCCGTTGTAGGATCTTTTGTAAAGCCTTCCTGTTGGTCCAAAATAGGACGCTCGTAGGCTTTTAGGAAAGCTACGTACGACACTCAAGCAAGAATTAGGAAAGTACGAATATGGAAAGTTAGCCAGAAATAGCATATATGTATTTGAAATTCGAATTGCCTTTTATAGGCGATTACAAATGGTAACTGCCGAACATAATAATGACTAAATTAATTACAACATTAATACGGAATTAAACACATAATTAAGTCGCGCATTGATTGTTGGCCGTTACTCTTCCTGGCTGGCAGGTCAGCCTGGCTGGCAGGCTGGACGCTTGAGCTTCCTCCTGCTGGACTGGACGGTGGGCTTCCCGCAGGGCTGGAGGAAGGCTTCTGACCGGGCTGGAGGCAGGCTCCCGGGTAGACTGGAAGGCAGGCTCCCGGGTAGGCTGGAAGGCAGGCTCCCTGTTGGGCTGGAGGCAGGCTCCCACCTGGGCTGGACCGCAGGCTCCCAGTTGGGCTGGTGGTCGGCAGGCTCCTGGCTAGGCTGGAAGGCAGGCTCCCCACTGGGCTGGAAGGCAGGCTCCCCACTGGGCTGGAAGGTAGGCTCCCCGCTGGGCTGGTCGACAGGCTCTCTTGGGCTTCCGCTCCTTGATTGCCCTGATTGGTTAGGCCGACTCGAGCTCTAGGTTGCTGGGCTTGGGCCCGCTGGTCCAAGTTCGGGGCCTGGGCCGATTAGGCTCTGGGCCTGGTCCCATAACCCCATCACGAGTCCCCCACTCCCTTAGTCGAGTAGTAGGCTCGGCTAAGAGGAAGTAGTTCAGGTCAGCTGCCCATTAAAAAATATTCACATATCAGGGAGCCATAATTGTGGATTCTGTCAATCCCACAAATTATGGAGATTTCCAAATTTCGAATAAGGCACCCAACTTTAAAAGGCCCCAAATTAATTCCCTTAGCGTTCTAGCATTCCAGCAGCAACCTTTCTCGCAGACTTCAGGATCCAGGTCAGCTTCAAAAAAATCCCTGAAATTCATTTTTATTACTTCATAAAAAATTTCTTTTCTTTCCTTCTTTTTTCTTTCCTTCTTTTTTCTTTCCTTTTCTTTTCTTTCCTTTCTTTTTTCTTTCCTTTCTTCTCTTTCCTCTCTCTCCCACGACCTGCGTCCGTCTTCCTCGCGTCGCCCCAGCGCCGCCGCCGTCAACTAGGGGCCGGAACCCCTTTGCTGCCCGTCGCGCGGCAGATGCGACGGTCTCCTATTGATGGCGACCATCTTCCTGCTGCCCGGCTGAGCCCCCCATCAAGCGCGACACTTCGTATTTTCATTAATTCTTGTAGCTCTTTTTTTTTTAATGTGTGCAGGCGCGCTCCTTTTAGTTTGGTCATGCAGGGCGGCAGATGCTCTCCCCATGAGAACAATGATCATACGGATTCATGACTGTCGGCTATTATTGAAGCAGAGCGTGGGGCGGCCGCGAGACCCATGCGGGTCAGCCACGGCCCTCGGCCACGTATGCATGCGGGTGTTACTACTGGGCAGCAAGATGATGTTCTCCCTGAGTTGGCTCCAGCTAAACGGGTTGCTACTTCTGAGGGACGACCCCTCGATGTTCCAGACAGAGCGTGCATCCAACCTGTGAACGTACCAGACTCTGACGATGATTCTGATACTCGGGTGGACTTGGATTCCTGGTGGGACCTTGATAGCAGCGGAATACCGGAGCTCCCTTCTCGCGTCACAGAAGGGGACCTCGTCATAGCATATAGTCTGATTGGTGATAATTGTTTGTTGGAACCTCCGGTGGCCACTGACGTATTGAGCGATCCACCAGCCCCCTATTTCGGGGTCCATATCCGCTCACTGGAGTTAGGGATGGCCGTGCCACTGCACCCCTTCCTGGTTCGGTTCCTTCACTTTTTGGGTGTGGCCCCGGGTCAATTGGCTCCGGCGGCTCATATGTTCGTTGAGGCTTTTGTGGCGCGGTGTGAGGATGTGGGCCTCACACCCACGATTGATCTGTTTTTCAGCTGCTTCCAGTGGCGTGCTTCTAGCTTTTTCGCCTTACTCTCCCAGAGGTCGGTG